TTTCACTAAGTGGATAATGCAATTCTATTGTTTACTGTTGAATGCAGAGTGCACCCGAGGTACAAACAAGATGTAGGATATCGTTTAGCATTGGCTGCAAAGGCAATTGCGTATAATGATACAAATGTCAAATATGCTGGACCATTCCCAAGTAATATAACAGTGGTGTTATCTGGAGATGCAATAAATGTTATATACGATAGTAAGCATATCCGAGTGAACCAGGATTCTGGGTTTGAGGTAAGTTAAATTAAAATGAGTTAGATTCTTAACTGTTCTAAAATGATGCAAACAAAAATATCTGTATCAAGTTATGTGTATGAAATGTCTGCAGCCATTTTAGCGATCTCTTAAGAAAACATTAAATAATAAGATCAAAAAATTGTATGTTCAAATAATTGAATTTGACATCTTTTAAAAACAAAATTGACGTCATTATTATTATACATCTTTTCCATCCAATTCAAAAAGTTTAGAACAGAATCAGCCAACTTCTTTTTGTGGAGTCCGGTCAAACCTGGTGGCAGCCATGTTTGTTTTTATAATGAGAGGACGCTCACGCGCGTAATCATTCCATATTTGGAAATCGAATTTCCTATGGAAGTATGAAAATACCCCGTAAAATACCGCAAAATTCCGGCACGCTGTAACTTGTGGCGTTACGGTGACAAATGTATAATAATATAAGTTATTCAAAGTCATAAACTAGAAATTAGCATGGCTTTGAGTTCAATATAATACGCGCATGTAGCAAAATCATTTCGATTTAACGATTATAATAACAAAGTCACAAAAACAAAACTGGTCATATATAGACATAATAAAAACACTGGCCAAAACGTTAGACGTACTGAGTGAAAAACAAACACAAATCAAAAGTTCAAAACACAATATTAAATACACGCACTCAAATACATCATTTGAATATGGTTTCTATGCAGGTGTGCTGTTCATCAACAAACAACTGTACAGACTTATCAAATGACTGGTTACCTGCTCCTATCATATCCACCATTGATAAAGATGGAATTCAAATCTCTACAGTGTTTTGTGATGCTGCGACATTGCAAGCTGTACGTTATGCGTGGAGGGATTATCCATGTTCTTACAAACAATGTACCATATATGACAATGACAGTAATTTGCCGGCACCTTTGTTTGTATTTTCACTCAAAGGAAAGTATTAAACAATTGTGGACTACCTTTGTGTAAATAACGATGGTTACGATTACACAAACGTTCCCATTTGGCAAACATGGTTGATATGGAAATTTAAGTGCCTACAATGAATGATTTTGGATGTGGAACATTGGCTACAACTAAGATAGTTATTTTAAGTTGCATTGGTTTACATTCTGTGTAAAATATGCTTATTGCCTTGTTGTTTTTATTATAGCATATATTTTTGTCAAATGCTTTTTTTTTACATTTACATTTTGCAGATGGGTACACAGAAAAATATTGTAACAAACCGGCAATTCAATTTTGAAACCAAGCGATTGCAATTGAACTATATTGATTCAACTTGCACTAACGACACTAACGACTTGTTGTTAGGACAACTCAGGGATAATATTATCCCCCTTGTTGTTTGCACCACTCAGGGATAATATTAACCCCCTTGTTGTTGGGACTACTCAGGGATAATATTATCTCCTATGTTGTTGGGACCACTCAGGGATAATATTATCTCCGTTGTTGTTGCTGGGACATCTCAGGGATAATATTATAGGGTCTTTGGCGTCAGAAAAAAAAACAAGGAAGAAATAGGAAAAAAACTGATCCCAACTATTGAAGGCTAAATCAGAGTGACCTATTCTTAAAAATGTGGTTAGATATTTATAAATAATGTATATGTGTTATATTTATGCAGAAGAATTTTACCAAATAACAGAAATTTCTCTATTCATTATAATATTATATTATAATTATTTCACATTATCCATTAAAACTAATTTGCTATATAATTTGCTCGATTTTCTTTGGTTTTTACTTTCAATATTCACCGGCATACTAAATACCCCAGAAGTGTTATATAATAATTTGAAACACTCAATTACAGATCCATAAATCCAATGTGCCCAGTTACATCAAGTAAGGGTTAGGCAACTAAAAGAGTAGAAAAAATGGATGAGGGAGAAAGGACATGGCAGATTTGACAGTCACTTAATCCGCTGTTACACCTGGGTAAATTCTGTTTATGAAATTTGAAAATGAACAAATGACCACAAAATACATTAAAGTACACCATTTCTAAGTGCCTTGCTTTTACATTAAATTGTCAACCCCAAATAAGATCGTGAGTGTCAACAATACTTGACAGTTACTATATACAAATTACTTTATTGGACAGTAATTGATCTTCATATGTTACATTCCACATCCTTATATTTAAAACTGCTTCAAGACATTTTTGGAGCATTACAATACAACGACTAACTTTGGTGGCACCTGTTTCCCCAATACAAATTTAAATATTGCCGGCAAAGATTAATATATCTTGTTCAGCATAATATTTATTCCCCGTCATCATATTCAATGGCTAGTTCTCAGAATCTCAACAGTAATACATACACAGTAGCCATATCGAATTTTGATTTGGCCACACCATTTCAAGCTACATAGTGTCTAAACAAATGACCCAGCAAACAATCAACAC